GCCTCAGTTTGTTCAACTGTGAAATAAAGGGGTTGGCTCAAGGGAAAACCAGAATGCTTTCCAGCGCTGAGATTCTGAGTTTTAATGACCAGAACCAACATGAAGCCTCAGAATATTTCCAGCCTCGCCTGAACTCAACCAGTGTATGTTTCATTGTCAGTCCCTTTTATCGCGTCTGGTTGAGTGTGTTACAGTAAACCCGTATTTAGTCATTAGAGGAGCACTGATCAAGGGCAGACAGCTGGAAACATGTTTTTAGCACTCTTTATGCCGTTCATAGGGTAGCTAAGCCCTGAAGTGAGGTCATCTTTGGAAGTTGAGTATAAAACCACACTGAGGATCTTTCAATAGCAGTAAAGTCCAGTGAACTCTTTTGTAGAAACATCCTTGGAAAAAGAGAATCACTTCTCCTCCTTAATTTCCTGTACCCACACTGATAATTCAGTGGGCTTCAGTGCGACAGGATTGAGTTGGGTACCACTACACGTTTTCAGACCCTGTCCTGATTTCCTGCTACCTGCAGAGTTTTTCTGGCAGAAGTGATACAGTCCTGCCCAGGCTTGGCCTCTGGTGGCAGGGTGACAGGTTACACACACGGCTGAGTCCCACGGTGTACACATCCATTGTGTTGTGTCTTGGGAAGCTGTGACTGTGAGCCGCGGTGCCAGACTTCTGTTTGTGCTGGCACTAAGGAGACCTGAATAAGCTAGCGCTTCTCTACCTGACAAGCCTGTGTGCAGGTTTGTTTTTTGGCATTGACTTACTCAGTTTGATGCTTTCTTATGTTGTAAATATGTAGGTGTGGAAAGATGTTTTTATCCTGGAAAAAAAGGTTTGGAATAGACTTGATGTCTTGCTTCTCAGTATTACTTAAGACATGCTTATCTACCCTCGAACAAAGGCAGGAGCAAACAGAATGCTAGAAAAGGTAGGGAAATCGAAAGAAACTTGCAAAGAGACCTGAGCAGTAAGAGGAATTTCTGTCCTTGCCATGGTGCAAGAACTGGAAAATCAGTGTTGTATTTGGAAATAGCACATATTTTGGCAATCTAGAATGAAATAAATGTTAATTTCTAGAACCAGATTGCCAGAAAACAGATCAGAATTGAAAAGTAAATAGTTTCAATATTTCCTCCTCTTCCAGATCTTAAAAGCATGTCCTTTAAAAATCGTTTCTGGCATTTTGGAGCAAATCCTATGTCACAGGTAGGTTTGTAGCTTAAAAAAGAGCCTTTAGAGTTGATGGTAGTGTGTAGAAAACCAAATTGAATGCAGGTGAAAACCAGTATTCTGAAAACATCTAGGTGGGTGTGGTGGTCTTCTGTTAGTAGTGCCCTAAGTAGATTCGAAGGAGTATTTGATGTCGATTTTCCCCTAGGAATTACATTTTGTTTGTTTTATAAACTATAATATTTTTGTAGTTTGGCAGCAGGTGCTTTGGAATCAGAGTTCAAATATCAGTGTTACCATTTTTAAATTCTGGAGCCTTGGGCTGGATGTTTTACATCTTGAGCTTTTCTCACTTATAATGATGGTGGAAAGTACTTAAGCTCAAATGTGGTTGAAACTATACAAGGGGGGATCGAAAACTATGGTTGAAACTTTAAAAAAATGATAGTAGACACACATTGCTGTTAATCTTGCTCAAAATCACTCACCACCTTTGCTTCAGACCCACTCCTCCAAGCATGCTTCAGTTTCTGGAGCCGTTCTGGAAATCCTCTTCCATGGGTGTCTTTCAAAGGGTGGTAAGAAGCACAGTGCTTGCAGCCGTGGAGCACCGGCCCGTGCATAGGCAGGCTTGTGGGAAGTGTGTCCTCCCCGCATCCTCACCATGCCTGGCACCATGTGACTTCCAGCTCTTCTCTCACATCAAAACAGCGTTGGTGATAAATGTTTTGAATCTGTTCAGGGCATTAAGGCAGCCACACCAACACCAGCACAATTAAAGACACTCATAAAAAGCACTTCCAGAACTGCTTCAGAAAGTGGCAAGAACAATGGAACGACTGTGTATAAAGCCAGAGGCAATCTGAGGGGGAATGATGGTGATGTGTCTTTAATTATAATAATTTTTTAAAAATGTAAGCATGCTATATTTTTTGATTTAACCTTATCCAAGTGCTTCCAAGAAAACCTGGCACCCAGTAGGCATTTATTAAATGTTACGTGTGTTCAATGTAATAAGAAGTAATTTAAATCTAAAATTTCAGTATTAAAGTACAGAAACAAAGACCCAAACCAGTTGTTTGGTTCTAGGTGACTTGGGCATTTTGGATAAATGCTCCGCTTGATCCTTTCCTTTAGCTCATTGGTTGAATGCTATTCCAGAAATCTTTGAAATGACTTTGCTCAGGTGTGAATGGGGGAATATTCAAGACCTTAAGAAATGCGTAGTCCTCTGAAAAGGGTAAAGGATGGTTAAGCAGAATAATAAGGGTGTGAGTTACTTTTTATCATTACATACTGTAAGTGATTATAGATTTATTCTGCATAGATTTTTTCTGGTTCCCATGTTCTGAGTGCTGCACTGAATAGTTTGGAAGCAGGATCTCATGCAGTCTTTATTGTAACTTGAGCTGAGGATGTAATGGCCCTTGTTATTGACATGAAGAACAGAAGGGCACTGTACGTTAAGGACCATGTCTCAGCTTCTGTAGCTGGTAAGACTTCAAAGACAGAGCAGTACTGTCGCTAGCAAGCACCTGTGAGTCGGTACCTGCCCCAGCCTTGCGAGACTTTGCCCCATGTTTTATCAAGGCAGTGGAGGTTCATTAGAACCTTTGAATAACTCTGTACCCAACTAGGAAGACACAGATAGCCCGAGCAGTTATGTATATGCAGTGCCAGTTTTTCTGACCAATTTTTTCTAGGGTTTGAGTGTGACTTTTGTTTTGAGACCACTGTGGAATGACTGCAAATCAGTGTTTCTTTGCCTTGGCTCCATGAAGGAATGCCCTGGGAGCTGCTACATGTAAACCAAAGAAAAGAAAACAACACGAAGCCCTGTCTTCATCTCCAGAAAGTCTGGTGGAAACTGAACAGTGCCTGAAGTCTTCTGGAGACTGACCAAGTTTGGGCCTCAGCCTGGGATCTAGACTGAAGAGCCAGAAAGGACCCCTTTTAGTCTGTGGGAGGGTCAGAACCACCGTACTGCACACCGAGTGGCTGTGCACTCTAGCTCCACAGCTGGGGCTGCCGTGCACCTCCCTCAGAGACCCCACACACACCCACTCAGCAGAGGAGGAAGAGGTGAAGCACTTTGGATGCTTGTGCCATTCCATCAGACTGACCTTCCAGAAAGCCCGCCTGTTGTTCAGTTCCACTTCCTGGTATCTCACTTTCCCATGGCCTGCCCATGCTTTGGGTCTCCTAGCTCTGTGTACTGGTTGCTTTCCTATTCTTGTAGTGTTCCAGAGACATCTACATCTGGAAAATCAAGTGTAGGTATGTCCAGCTGCTGTTCCGAGTGGTGGTCACCAGTGCTGTATCCTTCAGTGGGATTATGCTTCCCGTCTTCTGCTCGCTCTCTTTGGCTTTTCTCCACCTAAGGGCTCTCATGTTCCCACCACTCCGCAGCTTTCTGTAACTTGAACAATGACAGGCAGAGTAAATCCAGCTGTGGACAGTAGTCTAGGCAACAGAAGAACTTTAAGGCCCATAAGTAGTTTGCTATTTGCAATAGTGCCCTATTCGAACAAGCTTCTGTGGAAATACGGTGTTAGCAGGTTACCAGTTGGAGCAATAAATTAGATTTTCACTAGCAAATATTTGTCTACAGTAATCCAAGTGGTTTTAAAATTCTATTTACACATGAGGGGGCAGTATGGTACTATACAGACAGCGCTCTGTTGAAATTGCTTATTTTTGTTGGTGTGTTAATAATTTTTAGGTGAGCACTTTGTGCAATTAAAACTCCAATGCTGTTCCTAATTTTAAACTATAATACATGTGTGCATGATGCTTTGTTCACGTCACAGGTTGTGCGTATGTTTCTTTTTAAAACAGCTGTTTCCTTGGTGGATGTTTCATGCATTACCTTTTATTGAGAGTGTTACATTTATGTTTTGTTTGAAGCTGACTGGCTAGCTGGCTGGCTTTCTCCACCTTAAGAGTGTAGTCCTTTGGAGAAAGTGTCTGTTAGGTTGATGTTTTTATTATATTATATTTATTTATTTTACTTCATTGAAGGCTGAAAGGTCTCCAGTGTCATAGGAGGACAGCTTCTGATTCCAGGTCTTGGTAGTCGTGGAAGATCTATTACATATCATCCTAGCATCATATATATGGTTTTCCTTTTCTCCAAAGGGAAAAAAATCGCTAAGCAAAGAAGCAGCACTATTTAATTAATGTCATTATTGCTGATACATGAATGACACTGTAGATAAAGTAGGGTGCCAGTTTTGTAGGTTCCATAATGGAGAGGGAAATTATTCATAGAAGTTGGAAGGTATTAATAAGTTGATAAAATCTATGAAGCATTTTATGAAAAAAATGTAAGTAGAAATCCACAAAGGTAATTTCATAAGCACAGGCTATTTTTAAATGTGTAAAAAATATTTCAGTCAAATGTTTCTGTTTCTGTAGTTAGAAAAAAAATCAAGAGCATCATTTTAGCATAAATATAACCCTCTGTGAAAATTAAATGGGATACTTGTTTTTGACAATTTATCCTGGCTAGTTTCTTTGGGAATAAAGAGTGTGCTACTATCTATACCTCATAAAGATAATTATGCGTGTTTAGTTTGGGTAAAGATAGTTGAAGCAAAATGATTTGATGTTTTAATTTAATTTTAATGAGAAATTTTATTTTAAAATCTGTTAAAAATAAAGTAAAACTTTTCTGGCTTACTCCTCAAATTTGAAGGAATGTGGTTTTTGGCTCTAACCTATCTTGATTGAAAGCCAAATCAAATACTTGATGTTGGCTCAACATAGCAATACATAGGTTTCTCTTCACAGCCAACAACTGATGCTCTCTATCTATGCTTTGGTGGCAGATTTTTCGGACCTCACCCGATACCACATTCCCCGAGTCCATGTGCCTGTCCTCTTCACCCCCAAATGCTCCACCAAGGCAATCAAAGAGACAAGGACAGAGGATGAAGAGACCTGTGGCCGTGTACAATCTGTGTCTCGAGCTGGAAGATGGTAAGATGTTAATTAGGATCTTTTGCTGCCATGTATCCTCAGGGCAAGCCGAGCCCCCTGTGTTTTAATTTGTTTCCCTTAAGATTGTAACTTTTGAGGTTATAATCACCAGGGAGGGTGAAGCTTGATTGTTATGGACAAAAATGCAAGTTTCAGTTTCGCGTTTATCTTTGCAATGCATGGTTTTATTTTTTAAACCAGCTTACATTTCTTTTTTGGGATGCTTGTGTGACCTCCTGTGAGGTTACATAACCCTGAAACAAATGGAAGAGGAACTAAAATTAAAGCAGATCTTTTAAGAGAGAAGCTGATAGAGTCTCCTGTTAAATGTGTGTCTAAATTAAAGGCACAGGTCATTATTGCCGTGAAGTTTAGAGCTCCTGCCTTGTACTTGGTCTAGTTGTCTGACTCTCTCACAAGGCCGAACACTTCCTCATGTGACAGAGCTGACAAACGGACCTCCCCACCAAGATTGGGCCGCGATGAGCCTGGCACATGGTAGTTTTCACATCCCGCCCAAGTCACCTCAGTCCAGCGCGTTGTTGACATTCAGCCACCTGTCTCAGTGTTGCCAGATTGCCCGCTTGCATAAGAAAGCCCTGACATCTGGGTTTTCAGTGTTGATTCCTGTAAAATAAGACTGTGAACCACACAGGGGACACACTCTGGTGATTTGTGTCCCTGCAGGAATTGGTGTGGAGCATAAGGTGACCCAGTCTCCAAGTCTGCGTTTTCATGTGCATATCTGAAACTGATTCCGCTGGTGGCTTCTCTCATATTTAGCCCATTTCCAAAACTTGAGATTCTTTTTCTTTTTCTTTTTTCCCTCATTCTTCTTTTTAAAAAATATCTTCCCTATATTAATCTTTGATTTACTAAGGCTATACTGGTTTGGGAGCATAAGATGCAAGAGGAGAATGAGAAGGGAAACATACGACACCTTCATGATAGCAACCATACATTGAAATGGTTAAATACCTAACATCCAAAGAGCCAGCTGCCCTTGGGGGACTCAGATATCTACAGGAAGACCCAGAACACCCTGTTGTAAAACCAGGGGCTGAGACCTATTGCTGTATTCTTTTAGGTTGCTTAGGACATGTGCACACAGGAGACATGCATTAGTTTTAGTTGCACCCTAATTTGCCTGAGAAAGGCACGAATCACAAAAACCAACTCATCATTTCAGAGCTTCACTTGAGATGTTGGTTTCTAATCCCAGCTAGCTCTTTTTTTTCCTCTCTGTTTTCTGGCTTTCATTCTTTTTCAGCAAAGTGCTAATAAGGAGTAAAACTGACTGGTTTGAATTGCACCTTTTCTTACATATCACCTATCCTCTGGTAAAAGCGTTCAGAAATAGTGAAATCAGCAAATGCCAGAAAGTAGAAGGGAGAAAAAAAAATCAAGAATCTACAGATGCATACGGCAGCTGGCTGAATATATTTCATAAAGGATATGACCAAAGATCAACATTTGTCTTACAGTCACCTCTACTTTTCTGGCATTCATAGGAGTAGAATCTTTGTATCTGATCAGATTTATGCAGGACTGACTAATCTTTTGATTGCTGACTTGCTAAATGATTTTTCATAGCTAAGAGGTATCTGTAGCATTCAGCACATCATATATAAAAAACTCAAGATGCTGTACAAGCATCACCTTACTAATTTTTAGATAATAGAATGTATTGTTCCTTGGTTCTGGGGATTAAGCCCAGGTCCTTATATACCTATGCAAGCACTCTACTGCTGAGCCTCCTCTCCAAGTCCTGATATGGTAATTGTGGGGAGGTGGGGGACTTCGATTTAAAGGAAAAAAAGACTGTCAAACATTTAGTTCCTATAGGTTGGGGCTGTTAATTATTTTATAGTGTTTTATGTATTTTGTATCATATGAAGAACTTCATAACTCCTCATTAATCCTTGATTAGAGTCTTGGTTTCTTTCATTTGTTAATTCATGTGTTTTTATAAGCCAGAAAACCCATGAGTTGGTCATGAATGATTGTCTTTTTTTATCTTGGGAGTCATAGCATAATATAAAATCATGAAAATTTCTTATCCTTATGTCAGTTACTTGTAGCTAGGCCTTAGTAAAATTCAAGGGGTGTCCAAGACTTATTCCACAGAGACAACAAACTGTAGGGTCTGTATTTTACTATAGACTTCGATGTTGTGACAATTCTGAAACAATAAGGGGATAGATGGAGAGAGAGAATATGAATATGAATATGCTTTTGGGAAAAAAAAAAGCACATAGCAAATGGATACCAAAAAAAGAAAGTCATGTTATTCAATGCCACTTGGCATATTGAAAACTATTTCCTCAAAAAAAAAAAAGCCCATGTTCCTGATACTAACACTTAAAGGTTTTATTCCTTTTTTTAAAAGTAGGCTGAATCATCTAATTATCACCACTACTAGAAAGTTTCAAAAGTTTAATCTTTTTATTGTTGTTGGTAATAATAAAATCACTTCCTATATGTAGTTTTATTTAAAATGTGCATTATAGAGAATGTTGATCATTTTTCTAGAATCTTTTAGTTTATCTGAGTCTGGTAAAAATTTAAATGCAAATATATACCCACCCCTCCCCTTTATTCATTGTAGTGTGAGTTAAATTTGACTGAATAAAATCCAGGGTAAATAGTTTTTGCTTAAAAGGTAAGGTAGGCTGTCTGCCAGGATTTGAGGATTGTAAGACTAGAGATTATCTCTGGCCCTATGGTCTGCTCACAGATGTGGTGTTTGAGTGAAGTGGTTTGTGGTATGTTATTTCTTCTTCTGTGTTAAGTGTGAAACCATGCTATGTACCAAACAGCCAATCTGGGGAAAAGTAGTCTTGACTTGGTTTCAGTTTTACCTTCCAGCAGAGCAGATAGTGAGCTGAGCCTCAGTAGGATAGGCCTTGCAGCTGAGAGTCCCAGCCACACTTTGAAATGGATAGAGTCTCTGGTAGTAGATGTGACTTTTGTTTTATTGAGTTCATTCCCGATAGAAAAGATGTTCAGTTTAACCAAGAAGCATAGTATCTTTATAAGGACTTTAATTGGCATTAGCACATTTAGCCATAATGTGTTTGCTCATTATTGTTGTCATTATTAAAATTAAATTATGTTAGACATATTACCTCCAAAAGAATTCTAGTTACTTGTTTAAAGTTCTTTGCTCATGATTAGTGTGAAGCACAATGGTTATAGTTTCTAGCTAGTTTTCTTACTTAAAACAGCAATGAAGTCTATGCCGATTCTTGACTTTTATTATTTTGTAGAATCTGTATTGCTCCTTTTCATATCGCATTTATTAATCTCATTGGTGTATGTTTGTTTTCTCTAGGCCACTCCAAATTTGTCTTTACATGTCTTACTCATGTAAGAAGAGATTATTGTGTTTGTTGTAATTCTCCCAAAAGAATTAAAAGAAGTCCATGAATTTACATGAGATCAAAGTGATCTTTGTAAACATTTTTCTTTAAAGACATAAAAATGTTTTAAACAGTGGTTTAGGAAGTGGTGGATAAGAGGATTATCATGAGTTTTGATTGTTTTCTTCTATACTAGCTTTCGTATAAACAAGATTAGACATTTTAGGACTAGTTCTTAAATATATCTGTCTTGGTTACTTTTCTCATTGCTGGGTCAAAATACCTGATACTCAAAATGAAAGGAGGAAAGGTTTATCTCAGCTCATAGTTCTGTAGAGGTTTCAATCCATAATATGGCTCCAGGGCAGGGTGGCATGGCAGAGGGGTATTGAAGTGGAGAAACAGTTCATGGTGCAGTGGATAGAGGACAGCAAGCAGCAGCAGCTGCTGCCTTGTGTTTCTCTCTTTTATGCTGTTCAGATTACAAACCTAATGATTGGTAGAAGCCACACCCAGCGTGGGGTTTCCATGTCCACACCCATAATTACAGCCAACTAAACCATACACCTTTAATCCCAGTACCATACACTCTAGATCCACCTCTGAAAAGCCCCACCCATGAGCACCTGAGACTTTGGCACGTGAGCAATTTAAAAGATGATTTAACATGGGCTGGAAATAAAACTTGGTAAATCAATTAGTAGGATTGGTCTTAGGTGTAGTTGGGTAGGCACTTTTAACATGTGGATCATGAATTTCTAACTGCAGCAAATTTGGTTATGTGTTACTGTCGTTCTGGAATGTGGTAGACATCAAGAAGAGGGCAGAGAGACTTATTTTGGGTTAAGTTAATTTAGGTGTGGTGTGGGCCTAAATGAGCGTTCAGGAGGGAAAAATAGAGTGGATGCCTAGCAGAGCTGCTGAGCCAGTGCTGGGACTTCCTAACAGATGAGGTGGGGAAATGAAGGCAGAGACCCAAAGAGAAGTCAGCAGCTGTGGTTTATTCTCATACGTGCATCTTTTGTTCTGTTTATGTCAATTTAAAAATATTTAGACCATCTTTTCCTCCCAAAAAAGGAAACACACTATTTGGTTAGTGCGTTCAGAACATACTCTTATGTTACTCCCTTGGAATATGGTTTAGTAAAAGTGTAAAAAATGTTAGTATAGATACTGCACATTGAAAGTCAGCAGGCAGAAACAAATGTGAAGTAACTGCCGCCGTGTTATGTCTTCATGGCAGAAGGAAGGTAGAGGGAGACTTCCTGGCTTGTTTCACGGCAGGAGGCAGGCGCCGGCCCTGAGCCTGTGGAGCCCGAGGGGCGCTGATGCCTGTGGTGACCTTTGTAGCATCAGTCTCATTTCCCATGGGGCATCTTTAGAGAGCTGCTAAAACGCTTTATAAGGGAGTCCTATAGCTGCCTTACCCTCCCGCAACTCTCAGTAGGACATTTACAGAGTGAGCAGCGTTGGAGACCACTGGAGAACCGTGGCTGGGTGGATTTCGGTGGCACCCTGCAGCTGTCGGGGTTTCTTTTATCAGCTCGGCGTAGAACTGCAGCCAACCCAGGTAGCTACGCACAAGCAGATTTCTGTCCTATGCTTGGACTCCTCCTCCTCCCCATCCTTCTCTTTTCT